CCACGTACGACTCCCCGCACTCACCTCTGCTGCCCGCCTGCCTGTGCGCAGGTACTTGACGCTCAACTTACTGTCTGGCTCCATCCCTGCGTTTCTGAGCAACATCCGCAGCCTCAAGCATCTGTGCGTCTTCCTCTCTTGCTGTGTGCTCTTGCAAACCCCAGCTCCCCTGTCCCCCCTCCCCACCCCCCGCTGCAATCTCCACCATCCAAGCTCTCCTGTCTGTCTACCCCGTCTGCCGAACCCCATGTCTCCCAAGTGTCTATGCGCCCTTCCCGCCATTCTGCCACGGCCCTGGCTCTCAGCGTGCTGGATTACAACGAGCTCACAGGGCAGATACCCGACTCTCTCAGCGAACTCACCAACTTAGAGGGACTGTGAGTATGAATTGATACCTCAGGGCGGGTAAAGCCAAATGGTGGGGAGGCAGGGCAGGGGAGGAGTAGAGATAGGACAGGGACAGGGGACGGAGAAGGGGGTAGGGAATAGAAATAAGGGGAAAGAGAGGAAAACGTAGGTGAAGGGGAGGGGCTGCAAAATGAATTGCCATGCCCATGCTTCGCCACTCGCCAATCCCAATTTGCCATTCGCCCTGTGTGCGACTGCAAATCCTGATTCCTCCCAATTTGCCATACGCCCTCCGCCATGCTCCTGTTGCAATCACACTCACCTTGCCCACTCCCACGTCTTGCACCCTCCCTCCCTCTACAACATCCCTCACCTCCCTGACCTATCTCTCCCATTCTCCCACTCACCATTTCGACCCTCCCGCGCCTGCGCATCCGACTGCATCAGGTCTGCAAGGGGCAACGAGTTGACTGGAACAATCCCATCCTTGCTGGGCGACTGTGCTCATCTCCTTGTGCTGTATGCACCTTGCATGCACGAATTTACACATTGCTCGTCTCCTTTTCTGGGTTATTCCCTGCCCTCATGTACCCATGGGCCTCCACGAGCCCTCCCCTGAGATCTTCCATGCCCTCTCCCTGAGCCCTTCCCACTTGCTTGTGCTCGTTTTCCTCGGTCATTGTTGCGGTCCTCTCCCCGCCTCTCTACCCCTCTCCACTCGTCGCTCTACTCCCAATCCGTTTGGCTGGGTGTTTTGCATATGAATGGCTCTACTCACACTTTCTGTATCGCGACGAGAGAACAAGCTCCCTTAGTCCCCTACCTCGCAGCACTTTCCCTAACTTTTGTTCTACCTGCTCCGATGCTGCCGTTCCCAACACCTGTGACTTCCACACAGGGACTTAGGTCGGAACAACCTCACGGGAAGCATCCCTAAAACCCTTGGCAACCTGCGGGATCTGAGCTATTTGTGAGCTCAAATGCGCTACTTGGGAGGGGAGTGAAGAGGGGTGGGCGGTGGTGAGCTGGGCGTGGTGGTGAGCTGCGCGTGTGATGAAAGTGATAAGAAAAGAAGCGGCAGGGAATGGGGGACGGTTGAAGCGGTTGGTTTTTGGGGAGTTTTGGATTGTGTGGCGCATGCTTTGTGCCTGGTGGTCAGGCCAGTGTAGCTGGTGGATCTCTGGCTACCAAGAGGGCCCTCCAGACGGAATCCATGGTTGCTTGTGCCCTCGTCACCGCTTTGGCATGAAAACCTCACTCACTATCGTCTCACAATCGCTTTCGCAACTACCCTACTGCTCCCTTCTAAGAAGTTCCCTGTGTTTTGACGTGCTTTGCTTGCTTTTGAAGATGACATTGCAACCCAAAAGCAGAGAAAATCTTCGACCTGTATAACCACCCGTGCATGCAGGAACTTGCCTCAGAACATGTTGAGTGGTCCGCTGCCCTCAGAGCTGTCTTCACTGCAACACTTGGAGTACTGGTGAGGGTCGTGTCGTGTGAAAGTCTGGTGAGGTGGGGTTCCAAGTTTCGGCTAGTGCATGGTGGGTAGCCTAGCCGTTGTGACATGCTGTTGCAAGTTGCTGCTCTCTGACTTTCTTTTCCCCTACATCATCATATGCCAATACTGACACGAGTAGACCTGAACCGGGTACTTTCCATGCCTAGCCATGGCGACCGTTGGATCTCAGCGCTGAGCAGTCTGCACACACCTGTGTAGATCGCACCTATCTGCTGCTGCTTATCCGCTGCTCTCATGGTTGAAAGTCTAGTTCGGGGGTCGACAGGAGGCGCTCCTGAAAGATAAGCTGACACGAGCCACATGAGCCACTGGTGATGGTGCCTCTGATGATGTGTGGGGTGCATCAAGGTGTACTGACATGGACCTGGGAATGGGGGCTCCCTTATCCTCATTGCTGCAAGGTAGGACCAGAGGACCCTCAGTCAAATGGCAGAAACTGATTGACTCAAGGTTTACATAACTACCACTCCTGCTTTCCCTCATTGCCCAGACTGTTAATTGCCCTCCTCTCTTTGTTTGAATGTCAGGGACATGACTCAGAACCACCTGGGAATGGAGCTCCCTGCTTGGATTGGCAGCATAACGACCTTGAACCACCTGTGCGTGCCTCCATCCATGCACCGCTCTCTGTTGTGCTCCACTCGTGTACTTCTCTACTCGTTTGGAACCTCTTTCACATTCATTAGGCCATTCCCTGAATGGTCCTTGCTAAATAACATGACGAAACACATTCCCTTGTAGCAAGGTTCACGTACATAACGAAACACGTTCCCTTACCTAAAAGTGCTGTTATCCCTCACCTCTTCGTCTCTTTCTTCCTAACCCCTTTCTGTATTCATATTTTACCCTTACCTCAGTGTTCTCAGTTACAACCGCTTCAATGGCTCCATCCCAGACTCGCTGGGCAATCTACACAAGTTGACACACCTGTGCGTGAGCTGGGGGGGCAGTGACGCATGGTGTGTTGGAGGGTAGTGCAGAGTGGAGGGGTCACAGAGACTGCTACTTCGTTTGGAGTGAAGGGGAGAGTGAGAGCATATAGGAGGAACGCAATGCAACTCTATTGACTGGAGAGGCTGGCGCGGTGGTGGGGGGGCTTGATGCCAATATTTTTCGGCCTCAGCTCTTTCACCCTGACATGTCTACCCTCCCATTCCCCTCCCCGTTTTTCCCTCCCAGCACACACCTGTTTCCTTTCTTTCTTTCCTCTACCACATCACATTCCCTGCTCCGTGCATCCTCCTTGCTTCACTCCACCTCACTCTCTTGTTTACTTTCCTTACCCTGCCCCTTACCCATCATCTCTCAGCGCCCTCGATTACAACTTGTTTTCAGGACCTATCCCCGAATCACTCGGAGATTTGACTGGCCTCGTATCACTGTAAGAAGGCAGCATTTTAGAGTCTCGGCATTTTAGAGTCTCGGCATTTTAGAGTCTCGGCATAGTTGGTTGGCATGGTTGTGAATCACCACCAAGTATTACGTTTCAGCCGCATCGAAGTGAGAGGAGCACCTGTGAGCTCTCATGGCCAGCCTGGGCTGTCAATTGGAACGACACTTGCAATCGTTGGAAAGGAAGGAAAGCACCATGGTAGCACAGGCACTGGAGTCACTTCTCACGACGCACTTTTGCTTTTGCATCCCATGCCAATGCATGCCATCTCGTGTTACCACACGGCAGGTATTTGGATTCAAACTGGCTGTACGACACCATTCCTGCCTCCCTGGTCAACCTCAACAAACTCACTACCCTGTGCGCCCAAGCTTGCTCTTGCTTGCCCTCCAATGCTGTGTCTGCTTTTGATTACGCATAAACAGAGAACGAGTAACCGAGTTTTAGGATTAGAGAAGCTGGGGGAAAACACATATGATTCTGCCAGTGTGGTCAGGCCTTCCAAGCCTCGTGGTCGGGCCAGCCTCGTGTACATATGATTTTTGGGAAATAACATACTAGAGCATGAACATTCCCATCATTACCCACTCCATTCCCATGATTTTCCCTGTTTTGGCAAACAATTCAGACTCTTGTCAAATAACCTCCTTGCGGGAACGATCCCTGCCGCGTTCAGCACACTCACTCGCCTCGTGTACCTGTAAGCACGCACCCACCATCCATGCAGCTCCACAATTTCATTTCACATGGCACCTTCCCTTGGAGTTGGCTGCCTGACTGGTACGAGGGCACGCTACATCCCCGCTCGAATCTCTGTACGCCACCCTCATGGAGTGGTAGGGAGACTCCAATGCTCATTTGCACTCTACTCCCGTGCATCAATCCCGTCCCACATAACCCCTCAAGGAGTATCGTCAACACGCTGCGCCGCACACTCCCTCTACCACAGTCGACCTCAACCTCCTCTCCACCACACATTTCCCTTCGTGCATCCATGCTCCTTTCCTCCCCTCATTTTCTCGCTCCCGTGCCTTCTGTGTTGGTTGACGCAGCATCGTGGACAACAACCTGCTTGTGGGGCAGCTGCCCTCTCTGAAGCACATGCCAGCGCTCAAGGCTGTAGCTGCATACAGCAACTTCATCACGTCTGTAGCAGAGGCACCTCCCGCATGCCCCTCATACCAGCTGCTGCTAGATATGAACTGCTTTGCACGCAACCTCACCATCTGTGGCAGACAGCAAGGCCAGAGGGAAGCTGGGTGGTGCAAGTGGTTCTGTGGGAACGTGCCCTTGAGCCCACCGTGTAGCGGCCATGGAGTCTGCTTCTTCGTGCCTGGGGTTATGTCTGATCCCACCTGCGCTTGCGATTACGGTTACACTGGTGCAACTCCTAACACCTGCACCCCGCAAGGTAAGGAAAATATGCTGCCCTGCTCGCTGACAATAGATGCTTCACCTTTTCTCCTAGAGTAGCGATTCAGTCTTGAAAGCCTATCGTGGTCACCGTTGACGCTCTAACTGTAAGTTAAGGGTTCGTGCGTTCTTCTCATGCACCATGCCACATTACTCTCTGTCTTACCCCTATTCACCCTTCCGAACCGTCCTCTACACCCCCTTCTCTACCCATGCACACATTCGTTCCTGTCCCCCACGATTGTTCCTGCCATTTCAACCCGAACATCACCCTTACTTTCAGGACCATACATCCCTTCCCTCGTCACTTCCTACGAAGACCCGATGACTCTCTTCCAGTCGGCCTCCTCTACCCCCAATGGCTCCATCTTCCTCACCTCAACGCCATCCACTGCACCATGGGGAGCAGCCTTCACACCGCAACCCATCACCCTCTTCCTCTCCACCAACAAAAAGCAGCCCTGCGAGCAGCCCATTGCCTTCTCTGTCTCGTTTTCTTTTCGGATGACCTCTGCTAATTCTGGTAGTGCTGCTGCCAGCGCACGAAGCAGCACAGCAGGCGAGGGCCTGGCGTTTGTGGTCACTGCGGCGGCACCCCAGGGGGCTGCAGCGGGGGTGGGGCTGGGAGGGGTGGGGAAGCGGAGTGTGGCGGTGGAGTTTGACTCGGTGCTGAGTGTGAAGCACAGCGACCCCAACGACAACCACGTGGGCGTCAATGTGGGCGGCTCACCTGTGTCCCTCGCCTCTGCCACGGCCCCTCTCATCCTCAACGACGCCCACACCAAGCACGCCTGGATCCACTACGACCCCACCAGCGGCGGCACCCTCCGAGTCTTCCTCTCAGCCTCCAGGCAGCAGCCGTCCAAGGCTGTGGTGACGGCGAGAGTGTCTCTGTGCAGCGCGCTCAAGCCCACCTTTGGCGGTGCCTCCTTTCTCTTCGGCTTTATGGCTTCCTCTTTGAACAACACTCAGAGACACGACATCCTCTCATGGAGGATTGTCACTGGTGAGTGCATCATGGTGAGTGCATCATGTGCATCATCAGACATGTGCATCATATCAGCTATGCACCACAACACACTTGATGCTGCATGGTCGTTGCCTGACCGAGATTGGATGCGCTCAATGTGTGCTTGCGTGCATGCCCGCGTGTGTGTGTGAGCATGCATGCGTGGTTGTTGTTGTTGTTGTTGTTGTTGTTGTTGTTGTTGTTGTTGTTGTTGTTGTTGTTGTTGTTGTTGTTGTTGTTGTTGTTGTTGTTGTTGTTGTTGTTGTTGCTGTTGTTGTTGTGTGTGCGTGTGAGTGTGTTGTGTGTGTGTGTGTGTGTGTGTGTGTGTGTGTGTGTGTGTGTGTGTGTGCGTGTGCATCTTCATGTGCGTACGCATATGTGCAGGCATACTTCCTGCTGCGGACTGGCAGAATGAAGCCCCTGGTAAGCATAGCTACCCAGCGCTTTTCATCACATGTTCACAATCGTTATTCTATTCCAAGAGTTAAACTTGCGTTGGGCAACGCACGGCTTTCCGCCAGGATTAGCTTATCCCATGGAAACCAGCTCCTTCCTTCCTTGCAATCTATAATGACCCACCAGGCAAAATATTTGGGCAGGTAGCAACAGCAGAGGAGGTGGCAGAAGGCAGTGAAAGCAGCAGGGTGCCGTCCTCTTTCCATTACGCCAGCCTTGCCTTTCAAGCGAACAGCCCAACCATGGAGCCTTCTTGGAAACTTCCACCTTTCGTTTCTTGGATGCTAAATGAGGCTTCATGGCCCGTGAAGAACCAGCATGGATGCGGTATGGCATGGGTGCGGTATGGCATGGATGCGGTATGGCATGGGTGCGGTATGGCATGGATGCGGTATGGCATGGGTGCGGTATGGCATGGATGCGGTATGACATGGATGCAGTATGGCATGGGTGCGGTATGGCATGGATGCGGTATGACATGGATGCGGTATGGCATGGATGCGGTATGGCATGGGTGCGGTATGGCATGGATGCGGTATGGCATGGGTGCTGTATGGCATGGATGCGGTATGGCATGGATGCGGTATGGCATGGATGCGGTATGGCATGGATGCGGTATGGCATGGGTGCGGTATGGCATGCGCGCGGTATTGATGTGGTCGGGGCGGAATTCGAATAGAGACCTCATGATGGGGTCTCTATTCCACCTATGACCCCGTGGTATGACTATATTTTCGTATGATAAATGAACTGGCTTGTCACAAAGATCCAACAACCGCATCTGCCCTCCTTAACCCTCTCACCATGTCCCTCCCTGCTATGTTGGAAAAGTCGCCAGAAACCATAAGCACACTCCGAATAGTCGTTTACGAATATACGGTGTACGCAAGTCGTACGTATATTCGTTGGCGAAAGTTCGGGCTGACCCGAAAAAAAAAACAGATTTCAAAAGTCGCGCACGAATTGCGAATGTGCGACGCGACTCAAAATGTACGCACGTCCCACCCCAATTTGTACGCACGTCCCAATCCAACCACATTGTCACCCACACCTGTCAAAATGTGGGGACGTGGGAAAATTTGAACCGCACTGCACCCTATGCTATCGCGCGACTCCAACACACAAACACGAATGTCGTCAACCAGCGTAGGTGGTTCAACTCAACCACATCCTGGACTATAAGGTAAGCTCTCAGTCCCGTCATCTGTATTATCTCTCTCCTCGTTCATTCTCTCTCAACACTCCCGCTCACCTGCACTTGATGTCGACTCCTTCTGGTACTCCCGCAAGTGCCACTAGTGAGGCTCCTAGTGTTTCGAATGACGCGACCATGGCGGACGACGAGGATGTTCCTGTGAACACCCATGTTATTTTTAAACATTTCCTTACCTGTACCGAAGGTACCTCGAATGGTCCTGAGCGTACTCTCCGCATATGTCGGCACTGCAAGCTTAAGTTCGTAGGGGGCGCCTTCCGTTGCGCGCAACACATCACGCGCTGGAAAGGGCTGAAACGGAAGGACGTCCGTCTTTGCAAGGCGCCTATCCCTTCTGCTGACCGCGGCGCCGTCCGCGAATTGTACGAAGGCAAACACGCCCGCAGGGAAGGGAAGAAGAAGGCGGAGGAGATGGCGATCGAGTCGTGTGCGGGTGGAGCGAAGAAGCAGTGCATCGAAGACTTCTACGGGGAAGGGGCGTCGTGTGCAAAGGAATCGGCAGACGACGCCATCTGCCTCATGTGGGCGGCACTTCACCTCCCGGAGCATCTCGCCGATCACCCTCTCTAGCGCAACGCTGTGCGCTGCATCACGGACGCGGGCCATGGCTACGTTCCCCCGAAGCGGCGGTATGTTGGTGGCGCCGGCCTTGCGCGCTGCCGCGAAAAGATCGAGAGGGGGCTCGCTCCCATCACTGCGAGCTGGAAGCGGGATGGCGTGACGATAGGCTCGGACATGATGACGGACAAAAGTGGCCGTCCCCAAGCCAACATCCTGCTCATCAACGATTCCAGTGCAGTGTTCACCGAAAGCATCGACTGTAAGTTGGAGATGAAGACGGGAGGTTACATTGCATCCGTTTTGCGCCCGATCATTGAGAAGGTGGGGCCCGCCAACATAGTTGCGTTATGCATGGATGGGGGCAGCAATTATGCGGCCGCATGTAGGGAACTCATGCTTGAGTATCCTCACATTGAGCATGTGCCGTGCGCTACTCACGTCATGGATCTGCTCATGGAGGACATTGGGAAAATGGATTGGGCGAAGGACATTGTGGCTAAGGCGGGGGTGATTATTACCTTTGTGCGTGCCCACCATTTCACCAAAGGTTACATGCGAAGCCCGCAGGTGAAGGGAGGGAAGGGGAAGCAGGTGCTGAAGCCGGCGGGCACCAGATTTGGCACGCAATTCATCGCGGTGCAGCGGCTTTGCGAGGTGCGGAGTGCATTGACGCAGATGGTGCTCAGCCCAGAGTGGCAGGCTTGGGCGAAGGGGAGGAAGCCGCCGGTCGAGCCCTTCGCAACCATGATCATGGATGCCGTTTGGTGGAAAGGTGCGGAGTTCTTCGTCGCCCTCCTAAAGATCCCCTTTGCCGTCATGCGCAAGACTGACTCGACGGCCAAGGGCATGATGGGCAGGATGTACGATCTGATGCTGCAGCTCACGGAAGACATCAATGCGAAGCTGGAGGAGGAGGAGGCGGGATTGGTGCTGTCCAGCAGCGAACGCACGGAGGTGACCAACATCGTCCAAAAGCGCTGGGACCATAGCGTGGCGTGTGCCATGCACGTGGTTGGCCGGATCCTCAACCCGGTCAACCAAGAGGAAGGCATCTTCCGCACCGACCTGGAGTGTACTCGCGTCTTCAAAGCGTTTGTCGCTCGTCACTACGCAGGGCGGACCGTCACGCGCAAGGAGGGCGAGGAGCTGCGCGCATCCCACGTCATCCAGGACGGCCTGACGGCATTCAACACCCTTCAGGGGAGCTTCGGCCTACCCGACGCCATCTCTGACCGTGAGCTCGTGAAGGCCGGTAAGAAGACGGCCGTCCAGTGGTGGACGTGGCACGGGACGGAGCACCCCGAGCTAACAACGCTCGCTTGCCGCGTTCTCTCTCAGCCAGTGTCCGCATCGGCGTGTGAGAGGAACTGGGCAGTGTGGGAATCGATCCACACTGCCAAGCGCAACAGGTTGGGGTCCGAGAAGTGTCGGGACCTCGTGTATGTTGCGCACAATTGGAACATTGTGCGCAACTGGCACAAGGGGGCTGAGGGGGTGACGGTTCTCCCGGGGAACATCCCTGAGGCCTCCCTGCCGGAAGGGTACAACGAGGTTTTGGAGGAGGATGAGGAGGAGGGGGAGGAGGATGAGCTGGAGGATGAGTACAAGTAGAGGAGGAAGGAAGGGACGGGGGGAGTAGAGGGTGGGAGTAGGGGTTGGGGTAGGAGAGATGCATGTTGCTTGCTTAGAGTAGTTGAGAATGTAAGGTTTTTGGCATATATGAAATTCGGTAAAACCACCACCCCCCCCCCCCCCCCCCTCCTTCGGCGGTTTTTTTCGTCTGCCCGGTAAAAACCTTTTGCTGCCCGGGCAGCGTACTTTCTGCGACTTTCAAAGTCACTCACGAAGCGCATAACGCACTATACGCAATCGTATATACGCTTGCGTATAATGCGCTGGGCGCGACTTTTCCAACATAGCCTCCCTGCACACTACTCCCTGCACGCCTCTCCCTGCACGCCCCTCCCTCCATGCCCCTACGCGGCCTGCAGCCGACTCCTCAGCATATGCAGTGGTGGCAGCGGTGGAGGCAGCCTACAGCATCGCGAGCAACGGGTCGCAGCCCCCCCGGCTGTCGGTGGAGCAGCTGCGGGTGGCCCTGTCGGCCAACAGCGACGACATGCCTCCGCGCGATGTGCTGGCCTTCCTGGTGGCTGCCACACGCAAGGGAGGGGGGCTCGTGGATGACGCAGCAGCAGCGGCCGCCAGTCCCCACAGCATGGCGTCCGCCGGCCGGCGGGAGAGACTGGCCGCGGTGAGTTGCAGCGAGTGGTGGATACTCATGCTCTCATGCTTTTGGGGATGGCTGCTTGCATGGGATGGCTAGTTGGGTGTTGCATTCTCACCTTGAGGCTGCATGTACTTGGGGAAACTTCATTCACAACTCCCAAGCTCCTGCGAATCCTTCTTGGTGCCTGGTTCCTCAGATACATTATTCCACACACTCTCTGTATAACCAACTCCCCTACCTCATTACCCGACCTACCTGTCTTTCAGAAGTCAAAGTACTACGGCATTCAAGGCTTTGAAGAGTCCTCGTTCGATGGATGGATGGGTTTGCTGTTGGCAGTGCAGCGCCAGCCAGTGGTTGTGCGAATAGAGGCTTCTGTACAATCCTTCTTTGAGTACGACGGGGTGAGCACAATCGTTCTGTCAACGGGGGGGTGCTACGTTTCCGAATGCCAATGCGATTAAGAGTGCAATGCAGAGAAGTGGTTACATATGTTACGATACACATGTATGGCTTTAGAAACAACTTGTAATGTAATGCATCTCCCCATCCCCTTGTGGACTCCTCACCATCTTTTCTTGCACCACCCAGACATACAAGTACGCAGACGCCGGCTGCTTCCAGGAGGGGGTGAACCACGCAGTGCTGCTGGTGGGCTATGCCTTGCAAGGCAGCACAGACAGCCCTTTCAGCCTGGATGGGCCCCTCTGGGTGATCCGCAACTCATGGGGCAGCGAGTGGGGCGCTGCAGGACACATGTTCATGGACATGCAGAGCGGGCCGGGCGTGTGTGGCATCAACACACTGCCAGGCATCTTCCCCATCCTCCGATGTACGCCCAGAGCAGTTGGTTTATGGATTGTCTCGTGTGCTTTTGTTGCTGCGATATGTGTCCCAAGCAGCACCATAGATGCCTCTTGTGGCAATCATGCTGGTGTTTGTTGTGCCATGTGTGCTGGTGTTTTTGCCGAGCATGTTGCTGGGTCCAAAAAGCCACTTGTTTCACAATGCATGTCTTACTATGTTGCATCACATGCTTGAGAGACACAGCTTTTCTCATCAGAGTATGTGGTGCGTGGTGTATGCATGGCAGCTACTGCTGACCCGTGTGGCAGTAAGTCCGTGATCCTAGAAGGCTCATCAGAAGTGGCAGGGAGCAATGCGTTCAACCCGTGTGGGCAGTTCAAGTGCTCCAAGGCCGGAGCATCCAACCGCTGTGCCTGTGCTGCTCCCCACTTCGTCCAGGCCTCCCACCCCGACGGCTCCAACACCTGCGCCTATGGTGAGCTTGCTTTTGTGTTGACTCAAAAGCACCTGCGCCTATGGTGAGTTTGCTTTTGTGTTGACTCAAAAGCACCTGCGCCTATGGCAAGCCCAGCCTCACACTCCCTCGCACTCTTGTGACTGCCCTCCTTCCCCTCTCGGCCCTGCCTGCCTCTGGCAGTGGACGCCTGTGGGCTGGCAGGCAGCAACCCGTGTGTGGTGGGCACGTGTGTGAACGATGGCAAGGGCAGCTACTCCTGTGTGTGTCCCCCGGGGTTCGTTCAAGGCACCACCGCCAAGGGAGCCCTCTCCTGTGCTCCGGGTACGCTCCCCCCCATCTGTATTCTCCTCCCTGGCTGTTTGCTCCTCGCTCCTGTGCCGCTCCGCGCCCTTACTTTCCTCTACACCACTATACTCCGCTCCTGGACATTGAAGAGGGCTGCATTGTTTCTGTATGGGTGAGGATCAAGCGAGTAAAACTGCCAGGTTTAGTTGTAACTCGTTACTTAAATGCATCTGCGTGCCCATGTTCATGCTTGGTGCTGCATGCAGGTGACAGCAAGGGCATCTACACTGTTCTTGGCAGCAATGTCTTGTGCTCTCAAGTGCTGCCTGTTTTCGGAATCACTCTCGACCAACTCAAGCAGCAGAACAAGGTGCGCAATCATCCCCTTGTTACCACCATCCACAGTATCTCGTGTCAAGCCTTCAACCACCTCTCTCTCTCCCTCTCTCTCTCTCTCTCTCTCTCTCTCTCTCTCTCTCTCTCTCTCTCTCTCTCTCTCTCTCTCTCTCTCTCTCTCTCATTCTCTCTCTTTCTCGTACGTGCAGAAGCTCTCCTGCATTAAGCCCATCCCAGTGGGATCTAAGATCGTAGTCAAGGCGACCCAATCTCTTCCAAACTGCTCGCTCTTCTACACTGTCCAACTTGTGAGTGCGCCCATACCACAGGGCACATATTGTGTTGTTGTATTACGAGTTGCATGAAGAGCAATCTGTTATTTTTGCACACCAAAATTGGTAATCATGTATAATACCCTCAATTAAACTGCTTGTCACGTGTGCAGGGTGAAAGCTGTGTGACAATCGCTCAGCAGTTCAATCTGAGTGACAGGTGTCCCGGGGATGGAAATCAGGCATGTGAGGATGCGGTGGTGGGGCTCAACCCTGGGCTCAACTGTTCAGAGCTCATACGCGGCCAGGCCGTGTGTGTGGAGCGCGACGAGAGCAGGGCGGGGGAGGTGGCAGTGTGTGATGAGGAGTACCTTGTCCAGGTGTGTGGCGGCTGTGATGCTGTGATGGCGGCTGTGGAACCACCTTTGAGCCCACTGGAGTTCTACCGCCTCAACCGAGGCATCAACTGCAACTGCTTGTCCACCAATTTGGAGGAACGCTACTCGCAACGCAAGGTAAGGGCTTGATTTTAGTGCCATTGTGCAAAACAAAATGCAGTGAGTTACTCACACACCTGTTACCATGTGCGTCCCGATGCAGGTTTGCCTTGGCAGCAGCACAA